ATTTCTACAAATAGAAAATTTGACTTACATACACTGATTTTTGGTTAATTTGTCTTTTCTTTTCTATTTCCTTTCTTGTTTTTGTTTTTCCTGCCCTTCTTTTAATTCCTCCTTTTTTCGTAACATTTCTTGATATAGTGCAGACGTAATAGCAAAAGGAAGTCGTGTTACGTTTATTTATTTTTCCCGATGCAGTAGGAGAAGTTAAAAAAATACCCAACAATTCGTGTTTAACAATTAGTTAAAACATTAGTTTTATATTGTTGAATATGTATATCACTGTTACTACTACTCTCAGAAATATTCGCATTTCCAATACCACTTTGTTTTGATGTTTTTATTTCAGTATCGTTAACGGGAGATGTGGTAACTATATTTTGAATAATATTAATATTTGTGTCTATATTTTTTAGAACCATTGGGTTATCCGAATGTTTTGGACCATGTTAAAAAAAAATCCAAATTTTGAACAACAAATTCAAATTAACGTCGCTAGGTAGATTATTCTTTGGATTTTTTTTTAAATTCTCTAAGCTATGAACTTTTTCAGGACCTAAAATATTTACAAAAGTATTATAGTCCATCTTGGGTTTCTTTTGATGATCTGAAATGATTAAATTTTTTTCTACTTCTTTACCTAAACATTTTGTGTAGTCAATAGCATCTGCTTTAAATGGAAACAATCCGCAAACCTTGAAACCATTTACAGCTGTTTCAGTTTGGCAGCTTTTTTGTAGCTTGCTCCAATATAGAAGCAAATACAACCTTATTCACTACCTCTCCTGGATGCTGTTCTACCCATTCTCTCACTGACTGCCGCCAAGCTTCTTTCAGTGGACGAAAAATAGAAACGTCACATGGTTGTAAAATCCTTGTGGCGTTAGGATAAAGTGCAATTACTTCAATCTGAAGTTCATTACACAATAGACTTAACTGGTAACTTAAGTGACTCTTGTGCCCATCGAATCGGCCCAATAATTCGGCGTACTACAGACCTGTAACCGTTTTGCTCTTCTCTAGGTAGTCCATGTAGATCACCGATTGTGAATTAGAGATAATGGTGGCCATTACTTTTCCGGTCGATAGCACAGTCTTTGCCTACTTCGAAGCACGTTCTTCGGGTGCTGCCACTGTTTTGACTGTTTCTTAGTCTCTAATGTCTAGAGCAAACGGGGCAATCATCGCGCCGACAACTTTGACATGCCTAAAATTTCACGCAGGATATGACATATTCTATTTTTATGAGTATGCCTACTGTCTCAGCTATCTCGCATACCTTCAGTCGGCGGTCTTTCAATACGAGATCGTGGATTTGTGTCACGTTATCCTTCGTGGTATCCGATTTCGGGGCACCTGGGCGTGGTTCATCAAAAACCGACGTGCGACCATGTTGAAACTCGTTAAACCAATTTTTGAGAGTTGTTGTCGAAGTAGATTAGACACCGTATACAGCATTCAAGCGCTCTTTGCAAAAACAAGTCCGATTTGGCAGAAATTTTGTCACTAGCCGTCTACGAGAATGTATTACACGATAGTAGATTTCTCTTGAGATAGTGGCGCCATCGGGCGATAGGACCAAGTACTTGTCGAACTATCTACGTACACATACAGCATTCAATACTTTTTTATCAAGTACATATTTCACTGAAAGTATTCTATTCACTTTTGCTACATTATTTTTCATTTTTCTATCAGCAATTATACCAATTATATTTCTAGTGTTTGATCCCGTTCCAATTGTATGGTATACAAAAAATTACATTGTTAACTATTTAATCATATATATTTTCTATAATATAAGGGACATTCTGTAAAACGATTATATTAGAAATAAAAATTTGATGAATTTTTCTTATTTCTCTCCATTTTTTTAATTGCATATATAATTAGTTTTATTAATTCAGTATTCTGTAATATTTACTGACATTAATTGTACAGTAATTATTAAAGCTATTATACTAATAATTAGAAATTATTATCTCACTGTTTTTAATTTACACGAAATTAACAGAATCTTGTTCCTGGAAAATAAATGGGTGGATGAATTTGATACGATAATAGAAATAGCAGTAAGAAGAAGAAAATACGTTTGTATACCCTAAAAGGTATTTTAACAGGTAAAACAAAAATACTTACAGTTGTTTTATTATATCATATTATATTATAAGAAAATATTTTCTGTTTCTTTTTTTTTTATTTTTTTTCGCTTTTTATTTTATTAATTTAATTTACCTATTATAATTAACTCACATTTACAAACAATTCATGATTTTAAAATGTTTTTGCAGACTGGATAAAAGAAAGAGGTCAAACGTAATACAAAAGAACAATAAATATAATATAATATCTCTCAGAGCATACAATGAAGCAGGAACTCTCATCAGATCGGTAACTCTGGTTAGTTTACTCTTTAATTATATTAGAAATACGGAGTTATTGCTAAAACAGGAAATTGTTGTTTTCTCTCACTTCTTTGTTCAGGTCTCCGTAGCTGCACAGTGCAACTTTAACGTATTTTTTTCCACTACTTATTCAATATTGATGCTATCGATTTCTATTATAAATGTGATTGGTTCTTTACTGATTACTATTGTTTTACTTTTCTAAGTTAAGATTGATATATTAAATTCTTTTGCTTTTATTTTTAATCTCTGGACTGGTCTTTGCAGAGTATCTTTATTTTGGGCTATCAATATTGCGTTGTCTACGTAACAGAGTATTATTAATTCTTTGTTTCCCATTCTGTATCCTTTGCCTTTGTTGAAACTTTTGATAATTTCATCCATGATTAAATTGAAGAGCATAGGGCTCAATAAGTCCACCTGTCTTATTCCGCTGCCTATGTTTATAGGTTCTGTAAGTGGCTCATCTATTCTGACTTCCATTTTGTTGTTTTGTTCAAATATCTTGTCCAAAATATCTTCCTAGTTTCAATACTACTGTTGTCTCCAATCAACTTAAGAATATGGTAATGATTTAAATAAATATGCTGCATTAGTTAAAAAAAAACAACGATGGATAAATACCAAAATTAAAATTAAGGAAAAGGATTGTGTAGACAAGTAGATACAATAAGGTTACAATTAAAAAAAAATAACATTATTATTTGTATTCATTTAATAAATGTAACATTAATACAACTATGTCCTCTTTGGTATATTTAATCATGTTTCCTGCTAAAAGCTATTTTTTAGTAATCGCTGATGCACTTGAGAGAAAGGTATAAGCTGAAAATGCCAATTTTAATACCTAAAACACATTAAATGATTGAAATTGTGTATTGTAGATGTAGGGATTAAATAGTTGAGCTTTATCCGGGGACAAGGAAAGGGTCTCCACGAGTGCGCTTATTGTCCAAGATGCTATAGACATATTTTACATAAACGCCGGCATCATCTGGAAACTTTAGCTTAACCAACGACTAACCCTTCCTCCACCGAAAAACTCAACTGTGGCATTTGTTACTCTAAATATAAAGGCTCTAATAAATAGGAAGCATAATATTCTATCTGAACTCAGAAGAATTAAAAACTGCGACATTTTGTTCTTTAAGAAACGCATAAAGACGAATATGTATGGAGACCAAAGATAGATCAGTCGTGTCTACTCGTAGAAAAGCCATACTCTAAACACTCTTAGGGTAGTGAAATCTTTACAACACCGAATCTGTCAGTACTTTCATTAGGCAGAACAATATAAAAAATCATTAAATTTTTAACCGTCGACAATGACGATATTATTGCGATCCCGCGAAACCCAGTATTGACGGAAATACTCAGAAAGCAAGATAAAAAATGTAGAGAAGAACGAGAGTGTTGAAACTGTCTTTTAAACACAGTGGCAATAGGGCCAACTTATTGAACGTAAACCAATTCGCCAAGATAGCGCGGAACCTCATCAAAAAGCTCAGCTGCGAGTCCACTAAAACTAAGAAACCCCATAAAGTAACCATACCAAGTAGTTGACTATTAGTTCTATGATACACTCAAAGATTTCCACTTAGTAAAACTTGTCCAGTCCTTACTACAACATAAGTGATTTTATTTCACGCTAGAGTGAAATAAGGGCCGATAAAAAAATAAAATAATGGATTTGCTTAATAGAGCGCCCTGGTGTTCACCCTTATCAATATATACACAAACTGCCATTTATATACCAATACCAATAACAAACACCACTATAATATACAGAAGGCGATTTGTATGTCGATGACCTGGCGTCGCTGCAGAAGGGAAACCTTTGAGGGGGCTAGAAGTTAGGAAAATAGAAGAGGCACTCTATACTATCATAAGCTACTTCAGAAACAATGCATTTAATTCGAATTCAGCCAGAAACCAAGTGAGCTATTCCATCTTAAGAACTACTGCTCTCTACTAGCCTACAGCAGAGTACGCTTAGCTTCTCTGGTCCAGATTAATCGAAGCAAACAAAATTGATGTTGTCCTAAATAAATCTTGTAGACAAACGTAAAATGACAATGCAGACAATTGATGAACGCCACCCGCTTTTAAAAATTAAAATCCCTTAAGGTAGCCGTATTAAAATCTCGTCGATTCATCACGTAGCTCTAGCCTAGCAACTACATACTCGTCGAGGATATATCCAGTAGTGCGAACTTTAAGTGACCAGTATGAAGAACACTAAAGCACAATATATTGCTAAAAAATATCTGTAATAAGAATTCTTTAGCGATATACTATGACTAAACAGAATAGGAACCGAGGTGAAAAACCATCGAATAAAGTGAGGTTTTAAACACATTAAATACACAAAAAATGTTATTCCCCGGCACCATAAAGAATTTCACCTGCCCATGCAACCTTGATGATTTATGGTTTAATAAGCAAGAAGCGTTGGACATGACCCAGTATTGGGTCGAAAATTTTGAAAATCTGGACATGAAAAAGTAAGAAACTTAATAGAGATAATTTAGTTCTTCGAATATAGATGTCTAAATAATATAATTGGTGAATAATATTGAAACATAGTTTAATAGATACCTTAATGTACGACGCAATGTTTAAATCATACAGACCGTAAGCAGTATATTGTGGTATTCTTTGAGTATGCTGCAAAACAAATAACGTATCTCGTTTGACCGTATCTTCTAAAGTTCTCCAATTACTTTGAAATAGACAACTTGGTAATAAACTCGCCTAAAAATATTTTATGACTAGTAGTATTATAAAATATAAATGAAATATATAATCTATAAAAGTATATTTGTTAAATTAGACAATGGTTAACAGGAAAAATAAGGAACTCTTTTCAAATTTGAAAAATATCAATAGACAGCAAGAAAGTATGGAATAGTTTACATTTTTACTTTATCAGAATTAGAAAAAATCAATCTTCTCTTTTGAATACAAGATCATCCAGTAAATCAAAATATTCATATCAGTTCAAAATACGGTTGCTTGAGCAAATCCTTCTTCAAAACTACACTGGAGTGCAAAAAATTAACCAGGCACTCAGATTTTTTATGTATTTTTTTGTTTTTAGATAAAAGTTTTGAATTTTATTTATGCCTTATTAGCTATAACGTTTTTGTCTTGTTTGAATCTGTTTAGATAATTTTTGCGACCAACACTTCCAACCAAACTTTTTGTTAATAATGTGAAATAGTGTTGTAAATTAAACAGCGTTACTTTAAGTTTATTTTGCTTATTTAAGTGTGGCTTTAGAATTTGTTGTTTTCTTCTTTTTTTAAAAGTACAAGAAAAAATGATGGCACCAGAAGGGGTAGCACAAAATGTTAATTTACAGGATAACGAACGAACCTAAAATACTTGAGGAATTTCTCAAAGCACAGTGTTTGATTTAGTACAATATTTTCGGAAAACAGGACAATACACCAAGATCACTAATAAAACCACATAGAGTTATAATACCCAATTATTCAGAATATAATCATATAAACCATACCCTTTTAAAATCTATATTGGATGGATTAATCAATAACATAATTATATATACAGATGGATCCAAAATAAAACATGGAGTTGGTTGTGGAGTATTTATTCAAAATACAAAACAATCATTTATGTATAAATTACCATCAATATGTAGCATATATACTGCTGAACTTATAGCAATTTTGAAGGGCATTACTTGGTTAATATCAAATAATTTACGAGAGGGGGTAATACTAACTGATTCTAAGTCAGCCTTGGAATCAATAAAAAGTATAAAATTTGAAAGAATGAAATGTCCTATATTATGCAATTTAAAAAAATTGATAGCAGATTTAAATATAACATTTGTAGGGGTCAAAGGTCATATAGGTATACTAGGTGATGAAAAAACTGATAGTTTGGCCAAGGAGGCAGTACAAAACGGAGTTCTTTGTAATATTTGTACAATACCAGACGTCTCTAATTTGATAAAAAATAAAATAATGTCCAAATGAGAAAGACAGTGGGAAAACGTTGTAGAAATCTCACAAAATACGTATTTTAAAATACATCCAACCCTACCATCTCTACCCCAATATATTTTAGACTATTTCACTTCAAAATTCTTTTCAGCAACTGTTTTTCGACTTAAAACAAATCATGGGCGATTTCCATCGCACCTTGCTAAGCTAGGCATTATACAGTCATCGGCCTGTAGTTGTGATCAGAACTCTTACGGAGATCTAAACCATATATTCTTTGGTTGCAAAAAACATTTTAAAAAATCCGATGATTTAATTCGTAAAGTCATTAAAATGAAATATTTTCTTCCATTAAATCTATCACACATTTTGTTAACTGTCAATAAAAACACCTTAGAACTTCTAGTAAATTTTATTAAAGAAGTAAAAATAGAAATTTAAAACAGCCTAACCCACAACTCTATATTAACATTATAAGGAAATTTCTGCATACAACATTCTGTGGCAAATGGACTTGATTCCGTGCCATTATCTTTCCACACAGGACAATACACCAGGAGGCGAGGTCAACGTAAATAAAGGACCATCAATCTAAGTTAAGTATCGCTTTATTAAATTGCAAATGATGACAATAGAAACACAGTTTCCGTTTATACTGTTGGAAGATGCCTAAATGAATATGGAGTAAGGTCCAGAATACATGTCCCAGGATCTCTACTAACAGCAGCTTATCGTAGGCAACGTTTACACTTCGCTCGCGAATATCTTAATTCGGGTATTGAAGAATGGGGTGCGGTGCTCTTCAAGGATAAATCAAAATTAAACAGATACTTATCAGACAGGCAACCTAGGATTTGAAGAAGAGCTGGTGAACGTTGAAGAATCATCAATGTTGATTTACTCCCAGAGTTCAATTTTGTGGAGATAGTATAATGGTGTCAGTAGACGTTTACTAGGCCTCATAAAGAACTTCTTATAATTCGAGACACAATTCTTCGACGGCTGTCAAGAAGTCCAGACATAAATCCAAGAGAGGTGGATTCTGGGAGGACGTATTCAATGGAACAATGTTGCGTTCCAAATCATTAATGACTTGAAGCAAGTTCTTGACGAATAGTAGCAAATCCCTCAGGAAGAATTTGCCGCCTTAATCCGGACGTATCTTAATCCGAAGTTTGTTTATCGAATAAGATTAGGGCGCGTGGAGGTAATACACCCCACAAAATATAGTTTTTTATCAAAACATGTTTAAAATTAAAAAAATCCATGTTTGTTTTTTGCAGATTTTCAATTTTTTAAACTTTTTTATTATTTTTTCTTTGTTAAATTCTTGATTTATAGTAAATTTAGCTATTAAATTTTGTTTATTTATTAAATACTAAATTGGCAACATCTTTTTTAAACGCATTTTAGAGAAAATCCTGGTGTCCGGTTAATTTTGCTCTCCAGTATATAATCAATGGAAGAATACTGATATTTCTAGCAATTAAACAGTACAAGATTCAGCAACCACTATAAAAGACTAAAAATTGTGGTCAAAAAACTTATTAAAAACTCAGAAAACTCAAAATCCAATTAAGAAAACTAACAAAATCCTGGTTAACTACAAATCAAATCGTTTAATAAAAAATGTTAAAATATAGACGAGAAGATACAAATATGGGCTATGCTTCTAATATGGGTTATTACAATTAATACGAAATACAGGCCACCAACTATACGTCAATAGCTTGACTAAACACTCTTTAGTCTAAAATAATAACTAATAAAGCTTACAGTGACCTAAGTCCAGTGACCATTGAAACAATCACATGCTAGTGTTGACGCTGTTCAAGAAATTTTTCAGGTAGGTATATTTTTATTTCAATTTTTTTTGGCGAAAACTAAGAATAAATTTAATATTTTATTACACATCGTAAGCGAAAGACTGACATTTTCATAATATTTTCGACTTTTTCTTTTAATTTGTGTTGCATTTTAGTTATTAATATCTGAATATATGTTTGGTTATGTTGCAATGTGGACTAGCGTGGTGTTACAAATATGAGCTAGCCCATATTTGTATCAGTTAATCTACAGGTTTTTTTTCTTATAGAATGCCTAGAAAGAGTATTGTAAGTCCAAAACAACGAATGTCCTGAGATCCAGATAGCATGAAATCTGCTATTTAAGCTGTGAGAGATAAAACGATAGGTACATTAAAATCAGCTAAAACTTATAGTGTAACGAGATCGACAGTAAAACGGTTAGCAAAAATGACTGAACTGAGTCCAGATGAAGCAGTAGATGAAGTAACTGGGAAGAGGAACTATTGTTGGCCAAGATTTAGAAAAATGTTTGGTGGACTATATCCTTCAAATGGAAACAAAATTCTATGGTTTAACGCGGACTGATATCAAACAAATGGAATTTAATCTGGCTGAATCAAATGGATTTAATCATCCCTTTATGCAGTTAAAAAAGCTGGTAGAGTTTGGCTAGATTTGTTTTTGGCGCATCATAAAAATAGATTGGCTTTAAGGAGCCAAAAAAATGTTCAAATATTTTTTGATCGTCTGGAAAAAGCATATGATAAATACAATTTTTCCAGTAATTAGGTTTACAACGTAGATACAACCATCCTAAACATTGTGCAGCAATAAAATTGCAGCAATAGTGGGGTGCAAAGGAAAGAGACAAATCGCATCGCTGACTGCGGCTGAGAGAGGATCATTGATCACTTTATTTGCATGTATAAGTGCTGGAGGGAATTTTATCCCACCCGTATTAATCTTCCCAAGAAAGAATATAAATGTGTAACTCATGAAAGGTACTCCTTCTGGATCGATATCAGCCGTTCATCCTAGTGGTTGGGTACAGTCTAATTTATTAACACAGTAGTTTAAACAAATTATAGATACCGTTAAACCCTCTAAAGAGTTTGCTGTACTTCTTATATCGAATGGAAGTACAGCCATACTCTCAATTTAGATGTGGTCAATCTGGCAAGGGAGAATAACATAGTTATAATTTCATTAGCTCTACATTCAACACACAAACTGCAACCGCTAGACAAAACTTTCATGGGAACGCTAAAGGCATACTATAGCGAAGAAATCAGGCAATGCATACCTTAAAAACCAAACTTAAAAAATTGCTAGAAATGGATTCCGCGCCACTGGAATTTATCCATTGAATAGGACTGTGTTCTCAGATGCAGATTTTATTGCAGCAGAAATTGAGAGTAACAACCACAGCCATGTACCAAGCTATTAAACCTGCTATCCTACCAAATACACAAGCCAGCAACATCAGTGAACCAGGTCCTTCTGGTTTGCAGAAGTTTGTAAGTTCACAAGCTATTGAACCTGCTATCCTACCAAAAACACCAGAAGCAAGCAACATCAGAAAACCAGGTCCTTCTGGTTTGCAGAAGTTTGTAAGTCCATTTGAAATATTGCCAGTGCCGTCGATCAGGAAAAAATCTACAAATCGTGGCAGAAAATCATCCAAATCAACGGTAATAACTTTTTCACCTTACATTAGATCAGCAAAATAGCAAAAAGAAATTAAATGTACAAGCAGTTAAGCGACACATTACGGCTGAGTTCACAAGAGAGGTTACTAGGAAAAAAATTAAAAACAAGTCAGAGAGGCGGCATAAAATGGAAATCAAAAGTTCTGACAACGATAGTGAGCACGAATTTCAACCAGCTGATGAAGATATGGAGTTGGAAGAGATTCGTGGTGTAATAGATAAGGAAAATACGGATGTAAATTGTATTTTCTGTGATGGAAAATTTTGTGAGGATTATCGAAGTGAAAATAGATTCAGCGCCTTATGTGCAACTTGTGGGCAGATATAGATTGTTCTGGTGCAGAAAGAGACGAATATATGTGTGAATATTGTACATAAAAAATTATAATATAAAAATAAAAATATTTTTACTAGTAGCCCATATATACAGTGTGGAAACCACTTATGGAATAAAATTGTTTGTGTCCTTATTTTAAAAAATAATAAAAAACGTGGAGATACCTTAACTTTTAAATTTAAATGTACGCTTTTTAGACATAAATTTGAATGTACATGGTGATCAATGCAAGTCTGACATAGTGCTTAATCTGTATTTTAAATGAAACACCCTGTATATTTTCATGTTTTTAAAAGCTCCTTAACAACCTGATTTCAACGAACTATATCATGTAGGGTCTATTATGAATAATACAAGGTGAAATTTTGAAATTAGGTATTTTCTTCAAGACAATGAATTCATAGAATACCCAAGGTAATTGATTGGATTACATTAAAATAAATGCTCAACATGTTCTCCACCTTGTTGTTGGCCATAACACAGTCTCCTTTAAAACTCGTTCCGAACTTTGTTTAAAGTTTGAGGTGAAATATTCCGTATTTCCGTAGTTATTCTTACTTTTTGAGGTCTTCAATGATAGTTGATTGTGTTGCATATACTTTGTTCTTGAGATAACCCCACAAAAAAATCCAAAGGCGTAAGATCTGGCGACCTAGCTGGCCGCTCACTAGTCCTCTTCATCAAATCCACTTATTGAAGAAGATTTCAGTCAAGTAATTTCTCACCATTAAAGCATAATGGGGTGTTGCACCGTCTTGCTGGAACCAGACAATTTCATGCGGTAGGGTCGGATCTATTGGATTGGGATATAAGTTAGCCAACTAAGGAAGAACATCGTCTCTTAGCATGCTTAAATATTTTTCCGCTGTCAAATTATCATCTATAAATATAGGACCAATAATATGATCTACTATTCTTCTTCTTCTTAACATGCCATACACCAAAGTGCGTAGGCGACTATCTCATTACTAGAATTCTGTTCTTGGCGGCGTGACACAGCTCACCTGTATTGTGTATTCCTGTCCATTCTTTAATATTCCTTAACCAGGACAATTGTTTCCGGCCGGCTCCTCTCCTACCTTCGATCTTCCCTTGTAGGATTAACTGTGGTATTTCATATTTTGCTCCTCTCAATATGTGCCCAAGGTAACCAATCTTGCGTTTTTTAATTAATTCAAAGAGTTCTCTTTCCACGCCGGCTCTATTAAGGACGTCATCGTTTCGAACTCTATCCACCCAAGGTATGCGCATCATTCTTCTCAATGACCACATTTCAAATGCTTCAAGTTTGTTGATAGATGTTTTTTTCAAAGTCCACGTTTCCATGCCATAAAGCAAGATGGACCATATGTAGCACTTGACCATTCTGTAGCGTATTTCGAAGTTTAGGTGTTGATTACATAGGAGCGGTCTGAATTTCACAAAAGCTTGTCTTGCCATTTGTATTCGGGTTTTTATCTCGTGTTGTGGATCCGATTGGTCATTGATTGTGGTGCCAAGGTATTTAAAAGTTTTCACGCGATTTATACGATTGTCACCTATGCATAATATCGGGTTTTCTGGAGGGTTTCTGCTAATGACCATATATTTCGTTTTCAAAATGTTGATTTTGAGGCCATATTTTTTACCTATGCTATTCACCCTATCAAGTAATAACTGCTGATCTTCCAAATTATCAGTTATAATCACTGTGTCGTCCGCATAGCGTAGGTTGCTAATTGGTATGCCGTTCACCTTAATGCCTAATTCCGTATCTTCTAATGCTTCCGCAAATATATTTTCAACATATAAATTAAAAAGCATCGGAGAGAGTATGCAGCCTTGGCGGACACCTTTCCGGATTTCAAATTCATCCGTATATTGGTCTTGATCAATCCTCACCTTTGCCATTTGGTTCCAGTATAGATTCTGAATAATTCTGATCTCCTTCTGGTCAATGTTGGCCCTATGTAGTAGTTCCATAATGATATCATGTTTAACATTGTCAAATGCCTTCTCGTAGTCGATGAAGGTGAGGTAGACATCTTTTCGTTGATCTAAGCAGTTTTGTATTAAGGTGTTTAAACATAAAATTGCCTCTCTTGTTCCTAGTCCTCCCTTAAAACCGAATTGTGTTGACCCGCTAAGTTCTTCTAGTATCTTATACATTCTTGAGTGTAATATCCTAAGGAAGAGTTTCAATAAGTGACTCATTAAACTGATTAAGCGGTGTTCATTGCATTTTGTGGCATTAGCTGTTTTTGGGATCATCACAAAGGATGACTGCAGCCATTCTCGCGGAATGTAACCAGTATCATAAATTCTATTGAACAGCCTTACCAAGATTTCTATATTCTCCTCGTCTAGTAGTTTTATTGCTTCTATATTAATTTCATCTGGACCTGTTGCTTTATGCATCTTTGTGGTTCTAATTGCATATTCTATTTCACTTCGCATTATTGATGGCCCTGATAAGTTTTCGGAAGGAAGTTTGCGCGTTGGTTGTGTTGGTCTTTCGTCATTAAAAAGGCTTTCTGCGTATTCTTTCCACGCCATTGCTATCTCTTCTTCTGACTCTATGTATTCGTTTCTGTCGTTGCGTATTCTTGTTCTGTGGTGACTTTTGTGTATATTCGATATTTCTTTGATCTTCTTATGTAGTCCAAAAACTATCTCCTTTTTCCTGCAATTGTTCTATTTCGTTGCACCTTTCCACCATCCAACGTTCTTTTGCTTTCTTAATTTTCTGACGGATTTCTTTGTGTATCTGTTTGTATTTGTCTTGATTACGTTGTTGTTTATGTTGCCTATGATCTACTATAATACCTGCCCAAACATTCAACTTTTTAGGATACTGAGTGTGTGTCTCACGCATCTAATGAGGATTCTCCGTTAACCAATATCTACAGTTTTCTCAGTTTACCTCTCCGTTCAATCTAAATTTTGATTCATCAGAAAAAAGAATTGTGCCAAGAGCTATTTCATTTGTTAATTTTATCCATCATTCTTTTGCAGAAATCCATTCTACGATCCGGGTCTTCTTCTGTTAGCTCCTGCACAAATGTCAATTTATATGGATGAAGTTTTCTTCATGGAGACACCTTAGGACAGTTGTGTGACTCACATTATTTTGACTTGCAATTTGACGTGAACTTGACGTTGGATTCTCTGCGACAAAATATCCACTTTCACTTCATCTTCAATGAAGTTCGATTTTCTTTTTAATGGTTTGGCATATCTAAGTTCTCTGAATTGTGCATAAATTTTAGACACAGTACCTTGTGAAATATTAGGCAACTGAGGATACCTCTGATTAAATAAGTTTACTACTTCAACTTGACTTGTACAATTCTTCCCGTAACCGATCATCATTAAAATCTCAATTCGGTGGGCCTTAGTTAAATATTTCATTTTTATTTCTGCAAGAAATTAGTTTTTAATTAAAAATTTATTATTTTAATGTAAAATGTCAACAGCATGTCAACTCATTGATAACAATCCGCATTATTTACCTATTCATTTTAATTAGCAGACTAGCTATACAGTTTTTACCTATTCACGACAAAAAATGTTAACACGGTTACTAAACAGAAATTTTCCCCAATATACAGTGTACTGACACTTAGAGTAGAAGTCTATTGTCTGTATTTTGCTAATTTAAAATAATATCATAACACTTGATATATTATTAAATTCAAAATTTCACCTTGTATTATTCATAATAGACCCTACATATAAAAATATACAGGGTGTTTCATTAAAAATAAGGATTATGGACTATGCCCGACGTGCGTGGATCACCCTGTACATTTAAACTTATGTTTAAACAGCGCACATTTAAATTTAAAAGGTAACGTGTCCCAGAGTTTTTGATTATTTTCTATAATAAGAACACAAACAATTTTATTCCAAAAGTGGTTTCCACACTGATCACCTGTCCGTTTCTTACTTAAATGACACCGTGAGTGTTTTAATAACATTACAGAAAAATACACCTTACTAGGCAGAAAAACTGACTAGCACAAAAAAGCAAAACAATTCTACATGCCAATTATGTAATTTGAACTTTTTCGATCAAAAAATAGTCAAGATATCAGCAATAAACAATAAGATAGCCCATATTTGTACCTTCTCCTCTACTGTATTGAGTAGTTTGTAAATGTGCTGCTAAATTATTAAAATAAATAAATTGTTACTATTACCTGATACCACAATTCGTTGCCAGTGACACAATCAATGCTTAATTGCATACTAAAACCGATAGTGTACGTATACGCTATAATTCTTTGAAAATCGGAAACATTTTCCTAAAAAATATATAATAAAAACATGTACATTATAGACTTCAAGCGTATATCGCCCGTCAACGTTATCTATTTTAAACAAATGCAAACAAATATAGCCCAAGCATTAACATCGTAACCGATGTGTTGTGGTTTATCATTCCGCTTCAGTAGCTCGGATAGTCGTATAGTTGATTTTGTAATCGCTCCGATGAGACACAAACCGAGTCATTTGTGCGGCAAGCCGCCCATGGAATTCAAAGTAGTTGTCTATATGCTCACATATAAATACAAAGCAATACATATAAATATATAAAGCATATAAATATCGGAACCCATGGTATAATGCATAACAGGTATGATACTCCCGAGTGCGAAATTGGGGTGAGTTCGCGCATGACGTCACAATGAGAGTGATTTTAAATGTTCCCCGTAAGAACATCGGCGCTCAGAACACAATTAATTTTTAATTGGGAATAAAAAGCATTTTATAGATTAACTCTTTAACGCCCACTAGTATACCGGTAGTACCAAGCATTGCCAGATGGATCAGTGAACCTAAATTCTGCTGATATTTAAATTAGAGTGGGTTCGGTGTTTGTGTCTACCGGCTGATTTCGTCAGTTGGTGGAAAAACTTACCACGTGCCTCTGAGTGGTATTTCTGGTGTTAAAGTGAACATTTAGACAACAGTTTTTTACACTTTTTTGTTTTTGTTGTTTATTTCTGGCTGTTATTTTTAAATTTCGCTGAAGTTTTTCCCTAAACACAGGTAAGTTCATTTAAAATATGTTTAAACTGTACATTTCTTAAAGCATATTTCAAAAAATTTTAATATTAAAAAAAAACGAGGTATTCAAATAAAATTTTGCAAAGGAGAGAGAGAAGTTGTTGAGTGTCTATGTTCTATAGTTGATTACAACAAATATATGGGAGCTGCAGGCCGCTTTGGTCAAAGAATGGCAGCATATTACATTTGTTGGAAAAGTAAAAGATGGTGGGTAAAACTTCTATATCACTTTATAGATGCATATATTCTGAATGACTATATACTAGAGAGGATCTAAAGAAAACAAATCCACGAAAAAAGCCTTGTAGCCACCTGGACTTTAGGAGCAACTTAGCGGATCTGCTCATAGCAAATTATAAGGCCAGAAAACGGCCAGGACCTACAACTATAAACAGAAATGATTTTGGGAACATTACTCACGCTCCAGTTAAAACAACCAAAAGGTGGTGTCAAGAATGTTTCAAACGATGAATCCAGAAGCGTAATAATTATAAATGTCATGTTTGTGATGTAGCTTTATGTGTGCAGTGTTTTGAGCTATACCACAACACTTAAAAAATTTAAAATATATTCTTTTATTTAGATAATGTTTTGATTTGATACTTTGTATTTTTAGTGTATTTTTATAATAAATAATATTAAATGGTTTTCGTTATACCACGTATACCAGAGAACTTTCATGATTTTTTTCCCTTTATTGCCGCCTGGTACAATGGTTTACCACATTTTTACAGAAAAATCAATATCATCAATCATCTATAAAATACAACAAATTTTTTTACTACTTCGTGTACATATTTTTCTGTAAAAATGCACTTTTTAACTTAGTGTAACAAAAAATTAATTTTGTAACATAACCCTTAAGTACCATGGCGGGGTCAAAATTGACCCCCCGCGTATTTAATGCCAAGTTTCGCTACCGAAGATTGAGCCATAGATTGAGCATTGCGCGCTTTCTGATAATCTTCAACCGGTAGGTGATTTATCGATCTACGAAAATTTCGTTAGTTTATCTGTTACTACTGCAGAGTTAGGCACGCATAGGGTCAATTTTGACCCGCTTATGGTATACGTCTTTCTAGTGCAATTAACGAGTAATTTGAAATGGCGGGGTGTAGTCGCAATAAACGTCCTCTGACACAAAAATAACGAAGAGGAGGGACAAAAAATTATGGACAATGGACTAGATAGTGACAGTGAGTTTTTTTTTAGACCAGGCTAGTGAACACAGTGATCACAAAACAGACAGTGAAGAGGAATGGGACGATGATGACGAAAAAAATTGGCAAATTAATAATTCCGAAACTGGTAGTGAATATTTGGGTGAAGAAAGTGATATAGCTGACTCGAGGGATGTGTTTTATGTCAAAAATACATACAAGTGGTCTAAAACTTCTCCCAGCTTTTCTCGTACACGTAAGCATAATTTAGTTAGTCACTTACCTGGTGTTATTGGAAAAGCTCGAGCTAGTATGCCAGAGAAAGCAGTTGATGCTTGGGAATGTATTATTAGCCACGATATATTGCAAGAAATTCTTGAGAAAACCAATGAACGAATAACTAATATGGAAAAGGAACAGCATGATCCTTCAGCGTAGGTCCTTTCTTTGATTAATATTGCAGCAATTCATGCAGCAAATTTCTTTTACCTAAAGTCTTTCGACTTAAAGTGTTTTGAATAAATCTTTGATGTTTTAGTATTAAATTTGTCTTCACGGCAATAAGCAATAATCCACAGTTTTTCCACTACCGAATCCTTGAGAAAACCATAAAACCTACCAGATTTATCTGCATCTCTTTTCTGATTATCACTCAAACAATGAGATACTGCACAACGCATTTTATGTTTAGCTTATAAATTATTTCTAGCGAAAGTCCCTAAAAGATACAGGAGGCGTATGAGAATGGTCAAGTATTAAGTACGGACTCAACAATAATTAAACTCTCTCTCTCCAATGGCGCTACATTCCAAATTGAGCCTTGGCCTCCTCCAAACTATGCCTCCAACCTTGCCGGTCCCGTCCCAGTCTTCTCTAGGTTTTCACGTTTAGCAAATTTTAGTCGTCCGCTGGAACTTCATTTTCCCTCCTTTTTTGTTGCCTTTCTTTTGGTGATGCGCCTTGCATTTTACTATCTAGGGCTCTTTTTGGCAATCTTCCGGTCTTCATTCTCACTACATGACCACCTATCGAAATCTCTGAAGTTTAACGAATTTTGAGGTCGGTGTCTCTTTGAAAAGTTGGTAGATTTCATGGTTGTACCGGGATCTCCATACTCCGTTTTCGTTAATTGGTTCAAATATCTTCCTTAGGACTTTTTGTTCGAAGACTTCTAGTTTTCTTTTTGTGTCTTCTGGCTTCACACATGTCTCGCATCCATAACATACTGTTGGTCTGATAATAGTCTTGTAGACACTAAGTTTCGATCTCCAGTGAGTGTTTTTGGGGCGGAACAAATGAGCGAGTGAAAAGTAAGCTGTGTTGCCCTTTGTTTTCCTTTACTATTCTTGTTAATAATTAAACATATCTTATTTATAACTTCTAAAACACCAAAATATTGTCCATATAAAGTACAAAGCAGGTATACCTATATATAAATAGAGGAAATCCTAGAAATTGAATGCGAAAAATATCATTCATACGGTTACCAAACCGGGAAGAGGAAGTAAAGAAAGCAGCGGCGACTTGGTAGTGGCTATGGAACCTGAAATTTTTGGTGAGGGGGAAAGTTTCCACGACCTGATAAAGAAAAAACCGGAACTGGGAATATGCACTGAAGGTACCTATAGATTAGGACAAGTGAAATATTTCCAACTTAATACTATAACCACAATTACAAGGAAGCGCCAGGAGGAGGAGAACCGAGAAATCCCACTTTTATGGTCCCTGTTGAAAAAGGGGAGACGGAAATGGACGAGGACAAGACTACTGGTAATTCTGTCTAATAAATTGAGGGAAGACATAGAAATTGTAGGGACCAAAGAGGCATCCCTAAAAGTAGTGGGCGGCTACAGAGGTAGGAACCTCAGGAAGCTCCTTGAAGTCACCTTTAAAGGTAAGGACCTCCACCTCGTGCTGGAGGAGTATGAACAAAAAGAAAATAGGACGGGGACGCGCAGAAGGTGATCGTGAAAGGAGGTGGAAAATCTTACGCCGAGTTGCTGAAACAAATAAAGGGTAGCGTAGACACGAAGGAGAAGGGAATTAGCGTAAAAAGCGCTAAAAAGACCAGGGGCGGAGACCTCATTCTTGAAGTAGCATTAAAAGAACAGGCCGTGCGCCTGAAGAAGACTATTGTGGTCCATACGGAGGGAAACATGGTAGAAGACGTCTGGGGTTATCACCTTCAGGTGGACATATTTGACATTGACGAAGATGTCACAAAGGAAGAAATTCTGAGGCTGGTCCGGAAATATATGGGCAGTAGGGGGTTTAATGACGTCAAACTCGTCTCTATAAGGGAAAATAGAGACGGGAACACAAACGTCACGGTCGGACTGACACAGATCGCAGCCAAGAAAGCACTGGAGAAAGAACACATACCCATCGGCTGAAACTCGTGCAAGATACGAGAGAGACTGCATATCCAGCGGTGTTTTGGATGCCTGCAGTTCGGGCATAGCAAAAACGAATGCAAGGGAAAAAACAGAGCGGACTGCTGATTCAGATGTGGCAAAGAGGGTCATCAGGCACGAGAATGCAATAATCAGGAAGCTTTTTGCCTCACCTGTAAAAAAGCCGGGCACAAAGACGACAGCTTACGATGGCTGGAGTATAGAAAACTGATCCTGGAAAAACGGAATGTCAAGAGAGACCCTATCAGAAGGGAGGACGAAAGAGTGGGTGAAAGCACTTAAAACTAGGATTCAGACAGCGTACGGGTAAGTAAGTTAAAGAGATAAGACCCATTTATTACGAAGTTTCTACAAATAAATGTGGAAAGGTCGAAGGCTGTCACTACGTTGCAGAGGCACTTGCACGAAGGGGAGGTTATGACATGATCCTATTTCAGAAGTCCAACATAAAGTTGGTCTCTCGACAGGGGATCATTAAAGATAGGAAATCTGACGTAGCCGTATACGTAATAAATCGAGGAGCTGGCATTATCAGACACTCCGTTAAGAATGGTTATGTTAAGGTATATGTTGAAAACCTGGTAATATATCCACGCCATAGGACTTGCCGTGTCAAATGACGGTAAGGCACCTACATTCGTGAGAGGTAATAGTGAGCCC